TTATTAAAGAAAAGTTTTTTTATAGTTCGTTGTAAAATATTATAAATATAACAACTATTTTTTGGTTTCAAAATAATGTTTATACAATTTTTAAATTTATAAGTCTTAGGAATTATTATTAAAATGTTTATTTTGTCACTATGTTTGATATTCTGCCAAAATATGATAAAAACATTTTTAAATTATTATATAAATAGTTTAGAAATACATGTTTGTGCTGGAAACGTCTCCTTTTATTTTACCAGGATGAGACAATAATTACAGATAATAATTACACCTGATATTAATTGAATAACAAAGATTAAAAAAAATATTTGAAAAAGGTTAAAAATACAAATATATTGAAATAAAATAATTGTCTCAATAATGAATACAACTTTATTTTTAATTGAACATAAATAAAAAATTTAAAATACATTTCCATTTTAACTTAAAATTATTTGTTTTTTTTACTAACCATAAAATCAAATAAATATTTATTTTGAACGAATATTTAATATAATAGTTTATATTGACAGTCTAAAATAAAAATAAAACATATTTATTTGAATTAAAAAGTAATAAATTATTTCACATAACTCATTATTTTCAAATCAATATTTGTCATTTTTTGTTTTATTGAAAAATTCCCAGGTTTGTTAACTCAGTCTACTTATTAGATACAATAAAGGGTGTCTCACGCTAAGTGTTTCAATTGTATATAAAACACGTAATAAATATTTAATAGAGCAAATTTGAAGAAAAAGAAATTTATATTATTATTAGTTTATTAACCCGATAAGTTTCATTCTATTACTGTACAGACAATATGTTTTCGATTAAATTGCCGACTAATCCGTCAAATTAATAACAATAAATTGTTTTTATTTGAAACTATTATATACCAGATCAGTTGAGTTTAATTTATAATATTATTTCTGGACGTATAAAATGTATTTTTATTATTAATGGTCGTCTTCACAATTTACTTATAAACAGCTTAACTGTATCTTCGTGTCGGTAGGCATATTGGTTTTCGCAGTCGACCTCCAAGATTTTACCGGAATAATTTTCAAACAAGTTAAGTCAAGGGCAGTTGCGTTCCAAATTCCCACGTATATAGCCGGTTACGATTTGATTATTATAAATAAATTAGCGTTCAAATCTAACTAAAATTATATACTTGTCATAAAATGTACAAATACTAATTTATGCATAAATTAAAATAGTAATATGTAAAACAATTGACAGTTACAGAACAACTTTCTCAACTCACATAATGAATTATGAACTAACTCTTCGTCATATTTTGTCAATCATACTTAAGCAATATTGTATTAATTATAATATTATTTATATATTTATTAATATATTATTATATTATTTTACATAAGGAAATAACTAAAAAAAACTGTTTAATAGCCTTGGCTATTTTGACAATTAATTAATTACCACATTTGAGTGGTAATATGCACATTATGTTTAGGCCTATACTTAAACGAGTGAGATCTACTAAATGTATTACCAGTCGACAACCAGTTTTGTGTATTTACTTTAATATCTGAATCTTTGAATTTTTTTTTTAAGGCAGATATTATTAGTGCGCGTAAAGTAAAATAATATTCATTTGCATTACTTCTCCGCGTGTACTTAACGTATTTTAAAATGTCCAAACCTAATTAATTTTTTTATTTTTTAGATGTATGTTTCAACATATTAATGTTTTTACAAGTACGATAAGTACACTATGATGAATATAAGGCGTAGAAGAAAAAAAAAAACAATGATTAGTTTGGTAAAATATGAGAATTGAGTTACAAAAGAATCTAGACTGTAATGGCATAAGAAAAAAAGTTTTTATGTATTATAGTTTGTAAATGTTAGTAAGTGTTAGTTGCATTCTTCGCTGGCGGAGTCTTGGTCCGATAAAGGGTGTCTTGTGGGAGGCGGGCCTTTAGACGTCTGTTTATGTTTTATTCACCAAGTCGAAAAAGTTTTGCACCTTCTGAATTTTGGAGATTGATGTGGACTGATTTGAATTTATGTTTGATTCAATCCGATGTATGGGTTCATTGTAAAAGTGGTGAAACTCCAAATTTTTAAAATATACCCATTTTTGCTTAATAAAATCACATTTAGTCATACCTTTCATTATTTCAAAATTCAATTACAAGGAGATAATTCACTTTTACAATGAACGACACAATATATTGGACGCCTGTGTCGTTGTGGATTTGACGATTGCGCATAAACCATAGCGATTTTAACCAAACTAATTAAAGAATAATTATTATCTAAAATTAATTTTAAATTATTATTACTTTTTTGCTATATCATTATCGTTTTAAAAAACTGAACCAAATAAAATGTGTTTATCTGGTACTATAAACAAGGTGCCAATAAAACTGCCTTGTAAAAATATTTTAAACTAATAATTTTGCAAATCATAAATACCTATATTTTTTTTATAATAACGAAATTTACCACGCTTGTTGTACAGCGTTAATAATTGCATATGAGATTATAATCTTTATTTAACTTGCACAATAATTAGCATAGCGTTAAAGAGTTTAATTTAAAATTCGTTATAATTATTATAATATTTTTATTAGAATATTTACTAGGTATATACGAAATGTTTTTAGTCAAAATTATTTTTTTTATGGAAAATAATACTAAAATGTCCAATTACGGATATCCAACAAAACGTACACTGACTTTTCGGTAGGTCTGATGGCTTCGCTCATTATAAATTTATTATACATGCATGAATTTTTATGTCGTGGGTTGACCCTTTCATAAATCTTGTCACATTGTATTGAATTAGTTGAAATAAAATTGTAAATACTTTACTCAGTTTTTAAGCTAACTAACCTGCAAACACGCAACGAATAAAACAACATATGTGCATATTTTATATGTATACATTAAATATAAATTAGGATAAAAAATTGGCACTGAGACACCTGGTAACGTAGGTATACCATAAATAGTATAAAAAAAGAATAGCATAAATAGCACAAAAAAGAGGGTTTCGTAAAAATTCCAGAATATATTTTTAAAAAATTGCCCATCAGCTGTTTAAAACTAATTTAATCAACGTTGTTATATAATTAACATCCACTGCTATTATAATATTATTGTACAAGATCATCCATTTATTATATTATTTAAGACGACGTTATACCAATTATTTATTAAAGAGTTCGGTAAAGGTATTTTGTAAAATCTTAATTTAGAACTTAAACTACAATGTATAAGGATTAGCTCAATAAGGACTTGTTTATCGTAGTTAATTTTTTTCGGGTCATTGGATTATTCTTGACAGTGATTTTAAGTATGTTTTTCATCTAAACTTAGCCACGCAGAATGTGTTTTTCTAAGTCTATTGTGGTTTTAAAGTAAAAACACCAAATATGTAATCAAAAGGTGCTAAAATTTTATAGACAACGACTTATCCTTTTTTTAATACGTTCATTGTTTAGCTTGATACGTAATGTTATTTTATAACTTTTTTTCTATAGAATATTTTGAAAAATAGACATCATTTTGAAGAATTTTAAATTTAAAAAAAAACATAATAAAATGAACATCAGAGTAAATATGAAGTACAATTATTATGTTTATGTAATTCAAATTTACATTTTATAATCTATAAAACAGAATGCTCATTACAACGCACTCGTGTAAGAATTTTCATCACATTGTAGTTTTAACATAATTAGTATTTTGTAGTCATCGTTGAAGTAAAATAACAATTATTTTAGCTTAACTAGTGTTTCGTGTTTTCCTAATACATATCCATAATATATTTTATGACTGCTATATCCCACAGGTATTCACTTCGAGTTTCGAAGAACATGTATCTAACGATAAATTATCTGTAGATGCTTATATCAGTGACAGTACTGATGACTAAAAGGGGATCGATAAGACCGATTTAGAGTAATAATTTTCCACTATGTCACATGGCGTGGTATTAATAATATACTAGGTGTATCTCTAAACTCCAATTTAAACATTTATATAAAGGTAACCCAAAAAAAATATCCAAGGGAACAAATGGTAAAAACACAATGTACTACTAGAAAAAACATACAGTGAACCAAGTCAAAAGGTTAGGGAGGCAAAGTAAAGTGAATGTTTTGTGAACTATTAAAAATCAACAGTCAACAGTCAATCGACTGTTGATTTAATTATTATCTTTATTAGTTATATATTTTTTTATAATGGCCTTTTTTCTTATTGTCATTAATCGTTCGAAAAATTAAATATACTGCATTTAAATTGTACTTGATAAAAGCTTGATTTTTTACAGAGTGATCATATGCAAATTCAGACACTGAGTGATAAAGGTTAGTATGAATATGTACTATGTAGACATAAAAGCATAATCGCCTATTTGCTGGTCAGGCTACTACGGCGTGACATTGATTAATTATTATTAATACTATTATAATCAACGGTTGTTTCGCTGTGTTCGAACCTGTATAATAATAATATTGTTGAATTATCCGTGTCTTGTAAGCGAATCGTTTCGCCACAGTCGAAGCAAAAAAAAACACCCAAGTGTTGACAATTTGAATATAATTTTTTTTCGTAACCAAATCGTTTATTTATATTTTTCTACACACATCATTTTTACTGAAAACGCGCCGAGCACAAACCGAACGGTTACAGTTGCCATATTACAATAATATATAGTATATAGTAATAAATAGGTAAAAACAATATTGTATTGCAGCGTCTCTTGGAGATCTTAGTCGACGCAACGCCTCGCGTTTTATGCGTTGTGACGAAGACAACACATATTTGCCTGTATCGATAATACAACCAAAAAAACCGGAATTGGGAGTTATTTCTCCCACCTGCGGCACACGGCATGGATTGGCCCGGCGAAATCCAGTTTATGCTAATCACTAAAAAAAACATATAATTTGTTTTTCTCCAAATAATAATAACTATAAAAAGCGAAATAATATGATAACAGCTCTACGTTTGTGCTTGTCGCCGCGGCTGCTGTTGCGTGGAGATCCGTCGTGGTCGCGGTCGTCGAAAGACTCGACGCTGGGCAGAGGGACAACCCACGCATGTCAGTCGTGCGTTTACCGTGACCGCGTGCGAGCCGCTTTCTCGTGTTTCGGATAAAAAAATTAATTAAAACTCAACACTGTTAACACAAAACCGAAGTGGCGGGCTCGCGATATTTTTTTTAAATAAATACAATAATAGTAGTGTCTTTTCTGACACGACCGACCGACGTTGGCGCGACATCGTTCGATTATTAGGCCTGACGACGACGACGACGACGACTGTAAAATAAACTTAATTTAAAAAAAAAATCCACGTCCCATCGACGAATACACGGACGGATAAGTGACGGCGAACACGATGGTTTTTTAAATATATTTGGTTTTTTTGTTTTTAATAGAAAACGACGAGATTTCCAGAGTCGTGCCGGGGTGAGTAATGATGGAATTTAACACAATATAACGCGTTATATATAGTTTTTATCTGTTCGCCGAATCGCATGTGTTGATCCTTTGGTCGAGTTTCTGAACGAAGAAAATATAATATCGTATTCCGGTCGAGTACTATTAACGCGATTAAACGGTCGGCAAAGCTTTCGGAAAAAGCACACGGCTTATAAACAACCGTGTCGTTGCTATCCTTCGTCGGCGGTCACCTATACACAATACACATAATTAACATGACCGACGTCGTCTCGTTTGCGACAACCGTCTTCTAATCGGATCTATCCTATCCGGCAAACGATGATAAGATTATATTTATGCATTGCCGCCGCAACAATACACTTTATAGCGTATAATGATTTCGAATCTTCCCACGCGTCGACACCCTTCGCATAATAATAATAATAATATATTATACGACCATTTTTTCGCGATTCGTATCAATCGCCACAGGCACTACGATAATAAGAAAGGTATTCAATCAATTACTTTCGTTGTCAGTTCTCTCTTTAAAAAAAATATAAAAAAAGGTTTTTTTTTCGGTGTAAAAACTTTGTTGTTTTTAAAGTACTTTCGTTACTAGAAACTTTATGTATTACGGAAATAAATTATCATTGGATTTCATTGAAGTCGATTTTTCAACCATCTAACTTTTGTGTTTCCCATGCTATTCATATTGCTTAATTCACTAAACTGCGGAAACGTTAGAATATCATATCGAAACAATGTAGTTGATCGCCATCCAAAGAAATAACCGATATAAACCAGTTAATAGAGTCTGACATTAAGAATAATAATTATCAATACTATCAAAATGCGAGCATTGTCCATTACAAAATTGAATTAAAAAAATATAAAGATTCCCTACCTCTAATGCTACTATTGTCATTGACTTTTGTTACCAGGATGCTATGCTATTCAGTTCTAAGTATAACGCTGGAAAAAAGTGTCAACAATATATTGTATAGTTGACTTTATTTACTGAATAAATCGTACAGTATAACAAAAATTTGAAAAACTTAAAATTAGTAAGCTTAATTTCATTTTGGACGAGGTCTACTATAAGATATTTGATTGGAACTTATTTGACCACATTTTTGAAGATGCGACTTTATCCTATGTCCATGTGATATTTTGTATTCTGTTTGCGCTTTTCATGTAAAAGTTTTGATTTTATAGTAATATTTTTGTCCAAACCTACGAGCGCCTATAAACCGATTAACCTTGGAACGTAAGATAATCTTCTTCGTTGAAACTCCTTATCCCATAAACCCATACCCAACATCCATCAATTTATTTTTGTTTTTTTTAGAAAGAACGCTCTCAGTCCTGTATTTTTTTTTTTTTTTTACATTAACTATCGTGTACACGAGTTCTCCTTCACCTTCGTCCTGACTATTTGGGATCGGCCAACCTTTGTCCTACACTTCCACTTGACACGATTTCCCACCTCATCCTCATTCCTCGCATACACCTACAACCCTCATATCGTTCTCGATCGCGTCCAACCACCTATTTTTCGGTATTCCCCTTCCCTCTTCCTTCCTAAGTTTATTTTCATTACCATTCTTAATGCTTCCGATTCTTCTCTCCTCGTGGCATTCCCAAACTATCTCTCTCTCATTTTGTCCGCTGTCGAAGCCATGCCTATGCTACCTCTTATGTATTCGGTCCCTATTCTATCTTGATCCACCTAAGCAATATAATGTCCACTACAATCATTCTCTGTTCAATTTTCCTGTTTACCGCCTAACACTCCGAACCTTACAACACCGACTAGGTCTCACCATACTCTTGTAGAACTTACCTTTAAGTCTCATTGGAATTCTTTTGTCTCATAAAAGATGTAACGCTTCTCTCCACTTGATCCAATCACACTTAATCCTATGTTTAACGTCCTCATCAAAGCCACCGTTCTTTTGTATAAAAGATCCTATGTACTTAAAACTCAATCTCGCCTACGACGTAACCGCTTATTGTCATTACACGACTTGTCCCATTATTTCTTGTCCTCTTCCTCCAAGCTCATGCTCTACTATTCTATTTTACTTCCACTAACCCAATATCTTTCCTTCAAGTACTACTCTCCATTATTCAAGCCTATTGTTAACTAGTGTACACAAGTATTAAAAAAATCCTGCAAACTCGTTTCCACAAAGTAAGATTTGGACGTTGCTAGGTTTGAACATTTTATGTGTAACTTGTAAGTGCGCCGTTTTCAATTAATAGTTATATTTTGTCAGCCAGATATTATCATATATAAGTCAACATAGTAAAAAAAAATTATTTTTTCAAAATTAGTACCATAAAGTCGCTTGACGTTACAGTAATATTGTTGATATTAATTTTGTTGGCGTTCAAAAGAATAATAAATTTAATTAAAATGGTTATAATTGAACCTATAATATCGTATGTATACAAATAATTGTAAATATGTGGAAACTTAAACTGTACTTTAACTGTAGGTTAAGATGACTACTTTGTCAGAATAAAACTTTATTAATAAAAAAAAACAGAATATAAACTTTACTGTACAAACAATTAACAAAATACAAACAGAAAACCATGTAGAACTTCATTGATTAAACTAAGTACAGTATAACTTTAGAACGATAGATTTTAAACATTCAGAGAACGTGTTAATGAATATCAAGATAATATTTTTTAAGTTGTAATAAAATATAATGAATATATTAACAAAATGTGTTTTATAATAGTTTTAATGTAAATTAGATGTGTATAATACTAAAAATTATAAATATGACAATATTTATATCATGATTTTATGACAGAACTCAATGTAACATTTTATTACTTATTTTTTTTTTAGTCGTATTTTTCCTTATAGTATAGATAATTTATACTACTTAAACTTTTTTTTCAATTAACATTCATCACTAATTATTTAGTTGTCCTTTGTTTGTTGGCTTACCTACTTTAATCAAATTTGCTTGTAAAAGTATTTTCATTTTTTTACGCAAACTACTTGTAGTCACCTTTAAATTATTTCACTTATTATTATTTTGTCGAACGATGAGGTATTTACATGTACGTTACATTTTATATATAAAATACAAATGACGTAGATACTGTAGTCAATAACAATGCCTAAATTCGTAATAACCTTCCAACAATTTACATTGGATTAAATTAATTTGAATACAAAACTATAGTGTACGAAATTATATAATTCAAGCTCATTTATTTAATTATTGCATAAGAAGAAATAACTAATTAAAACGACATGGGTATTTCTAAACCCGATACAAACATTTATATTAAAATACCATACATTATTAATATTATTTTACTATTAAATATTTTCAAACCCCTACTCGTGAAAGTTTAAAGCTTCGTTATAAAATATCAATTTTGCTTATAAACTTTAAAAAACTAAAAATATTTTTTATTAAAAAAATGCGAGTCTGTAATCAATATGTATGTACGTGTATGTTTTATTTTAAACACAAAATTCAGTATCTAATTTTTTTATTATCTTAAAAGTTTTTATAAATGGGTTTAATAAATAGGCTTTAAAAAAGCAGATTTTCAATCACACAACTTTTTCAATCAGTATTATTATTAAATAATCATCCAATATTAACTAAATCCACAATTTTTAAACAAACATTACTTTGTTAACAAACTCACCGACTGATTAAAGCTATAGGTTTTTGCTGGTTTTCCATCTAAAAAATATTAGGAGCAATTCGTCGATTTGTTTGGAAGATATTTAGGTACAAAAATAATTATTATTTTATTAAAAATGCCTTAAGCTTAAATTTTATGTAAATATTTAAGAACGACTAAAGTTTAAAATATTTATTAAATTAATACATTTTAGGCCACGCAATTTGTTTTATAAATGTTGAGATTTTACCATTTGGTTGAATAGTATTATTATTACAGTAACATACTATTTAGAAGGTTTTGTAGAAAACTTCTTGAAATAATTTAATTACCTAGTTTACTTGTGAATTCAAATCAAAATCCGGTTATTGTTCACTTTAATTACTTAAATAAGTGTACTTAAGTAATTAAAACTTGAATGACTGTAACAGAAAAATATTTACTCTTGTATGATATGTGTATAATAACATAAGCGTCATTCATCAGCTTCAAACCATATCGAATAGTGTGCCAAGAATTCTTCATATTATGAATATACTGATCACACAAGTTTTATACCTTGAGTTATTATTTTATTAATAATTTTTATTTAATTGTTGTTACAAATTAGATACTGTACTCGAAAATAATTTATTAATCGTCTACCAATAAAAATAAAACGTAATACTTGGCTAATTAACATAATAAAATTCAATTTTTTTTGTGACTTTATATTATTAAAAACACCGTTAAAATGTATTCAGAGGACCGATATAATAGTTCATGTTACATGATACATATCATTAGACCATTAATGTTATTACAACTTAATCTATTTGTTTAACATAAACAATGGTTAATATTACTTTCTTACGGCTAACGAACCAACTTAAACTGTACATACAAAGTAAGTAACAATATACTATCATAAGTTAGGAAGTCGATATCGTAATCAGTACCCATAAAATATTATAGACAAACCCCATAAGAAAATAGTTTATTAATTATTCGGTATACATGGTTACGCTTGAGCTATTCATATTGTTTTAACGCCGAGCGAAAACTTTTGATAGATCATACTTTCCTTGTAAGTTTTTTGCTAGTGGTTGAATTAAAGCAAATAGAAAACGGAATGGCGAACAACCGCCACACAACTAACAGCAAAATATATATCACAAATTATATTCGGACCAACGCACACAACAATATGACGTATCCAAATATATGCAATAGGACTTCCTTTAGTTTTAATACAATTCCAAAAACATAAATAAATATATGTTACAAAAACTATTTCTCTCAAGCCAACTTAAATAACACAAAAATCTATACATTGAACTTATTGTACAAACTTAACTGTGCTTTTAACAAGTTTCCAG